TATCCAACTAATCGATTAATCGGTTTTTATTCAACTAATCGATTAGTTGGCCAATCGATTAATCGACTAATCGATTAATCGTTTAATCGAATTAGTTGAATAAATAATAAACGAAACTTGGTAAAATACACGGTAGCAACTGAAACAGCCGGTTGATATTCTTATCAATCGACTAATCGATTAATCGATTAGTTGGCCAATCGATTAATCGATTAGTCGACTAATCGACTAAGTTGAGTCTGTAAAATTCAAATCGATTAGTTGTCAACTTTACAACTAATCGATTAATTTGATTTTCGATTTGTATCACTATATAGTTCAAGCCACGGCCTCAATAGTCATAGCTCAAGCTGGAGCCAAGCCAAGCCATCCAAGCAGATAACAGCTTTACCCTAACCCTATGCGATGTCAGCTGTAGGTGAAATGAGTGTCATATGAGTGACGAACCTGTAAATCATGATTTACAGGTTTTCTCTTTTCGTCACTCATATGATATGTTAGATTTTTTTTAATACATACCGATTGCAAACGACCTGTGTCTTTTTCTAATTTGAGAGTGAAACTCGTTAATTAATACGTGTTCTGTAGTGCTTGTGTGTACAATACGTGCGTACTGTACGTACAGTACGTACGTACGTATATACTTGCGGGAAGAAACTCGTGCGACGGCGCATTTCCTTCAGATGAGATTTCTGGTCATAATGATTATGCCTAATTAATTATATTGTCGTTATAAACATGCACCACTAAGAATATGTATCATGAATTGTAATTTTATTAACAATGAATAAAAGTTCAGTATATAAGATATCTGATATGTACTGTACGTACGTACGTACAGTACGTATGTACGTACGCACATGTGTAAAATATACAGCATATAGTAAATTGAAATTCTTTGCTATAACGTGCCACAGAAGATCTTTCCAGAACAATGACCAATTATATAGTTGTTTAAAGTAGTTAAACAATCACTGAGTGACAAAGTCGGAGTTAGGAGCAAATACGTCCGAAGCATATATATATATTTTACTATTTTTTTTTTTTTGTTAGCGCAAAAATCATCTACGTAGTCTGTAAATACATAATTTTAGTACATTCTTTTTTTTTTTTAATTTTAATTCCTTGATATTAATCATGTCTCTAAGAGATATCCGAATTGTTGTTGGAATAGGTGAATATATTGGTCATATATTATGTCATTATTGCTTTTTTTACCCACTTATTTGAACGAGTTTAACATTAACGTTAAGTGATTTTTCATTTATGTAGATTTTGGAACCACATTTTCAGTAAGATAATTTTTTCATTAAGATAACTTTTTTCCATTCTTATAATAATCTTAACAAATTCAACTCTCATTCTCTTTTTACGTATTACGTATTTAATTCTCAAATAGGGTTTTGCCTATGCTAACAAAGTAAATTCCGAAATATCGACTAACAACATTTGGCCAGACCATGTAGGTCAATTTAAAACTAACACAGCACTATTGTATGACAATAATTTAAGTGAAATCAAAGCGTGGGGTCGTTCTGGTAAAAAAAAAAAAAATTTTATACTTTTAAAAATTTGACCTTATCGATGATTTTAATAGTAAATATTTTCAATTAAAAATTTTACAGCATTGGCTGAAAAACCAAGTAAAAGACGTCCACAAAAATCGAATAATTCGATACACGTTGAATTATTTAAATTACATTTGGGTGATATTCCAGATGATGACAAACCGAT